GTTGAATTTTCTTATATACACTCTATTTACATTGAATAAACTCAGGCTACTCCATTTTCACTCATACCTCTTCTCATACTGATTATTTATGATGGCAATACCAGCACCTATACACTGTCGGTTTCTTTTCTCTTCCTCTGGACAGCCAATGAAACACAGACAATGTGTGCATGAAGTATGGTCACAGTGAAGACAGAACAGCCTATAAATTAAAAGTTGCTCTTTCTTTCTGTGGGTTTTATAGAATACTCATATAACTATGCCTGAATGCTTATAATACAGAAAATGCTTCTATATTTGAATGGGAGATTTTTGTACAACCACTCTGTAGGTACTGACTCTGCTTAACGAATATAAAAGGGAGCTGAGATCCTCACGCATATGACTCACGCTATGCATATGCTTTCTAGAAAGTTCATATGCTACATTGTTTAACCCTTCTCTTCCATCATATATGAAGTATAGATTCATAGGAATTTTCTTGTTTAGGGATTGGTGAGGTGAATATGATATAATGCAGAATAATGTCAGCACAGATTGTGGTGATTCACTCATCCTCTTTATTTGTTGTTTTTGGTGGTGGTGGTTCTGGTTCTGGTGCTGATGATTATGTGTTGGTTGGTGAAAGGTGTCTGTCCTTATTACATGTTTGGGAGTTTCCCCACTTAACTTCATAGGGAATCTAAATACACTAAGGAAAAGGCAATAGGAAGCAATCAGGACTCAGATCTGTAACTTCCTCTTGCAATGTGTAGCAGATTATGGGTTTTTAATTAAGGGAGCTACACAGCCTGTCACTGGGGATTGGATATTATTGACTGAAGAGCTTGGCTTTTATGACTATCAAGTACATAGTGAAATTCACTTATGTAGAAAGAAAAACTGTCCTCAGTTTGACACACAGAAGTTTTAGGTTCTGTCAAGGAAGAGAGAGTTTCAGCTTGCTATAAACTATATAGCCATGATGTTTATTGCAGCTTACTCATGAATTAGCCGTTTTTCTGCTTTCACCTGACAGTTTACAGTTTGTGAAGCGAAGTCAGATTTCACATTGAGACCCCGGAGACAGGAACTGAAAAAGAACAAGCAGGAGTACTGCTTACTTCCTTGGTTTCTTAGGCTGGCTCGGTTTTTGCTTTCTTATACATCTTGGGTCACCTGCCTATGAGTGGCACAACCTAAGATGGATTGTACCCTTCCACATCAATCATTAGTGCAAAATATCCTTGCATACTTGTCTATAGGCTAATATGGTGGGGATACTTTCTCAATTGTGGTTCCTCTTTCCAGATGACCAGAGTTTGTAAAAAACTGACAAAAAATTACCAGAACAGCATCCCTCTGTTTTATTCCATTTGGGTAATACAATGTAGATGGCAAAATTCTCAGTGGAGTGAATGCTATTTCTGATGCTCATGTAATTCATTCATGTTAGGGGATGAGATAGTGCTATAAAAACCATTTGGATTTCTGAATGAAGAAAAAAGCCAATTTCTTCCCAGTTAACTTATTCTATCAGTTTTCAGCATGAGCAATGCTGAGAGAAGACACTTGCATCATTTTAGTATTTTTATTACTAGCCATTTATAATTCATTTTTATAGCCACTTTTAAAGCTACTACATCCAAGCTCTGAAATTTATCATTGCTTATGCCGTATGAATGATAGAATTTCAGGATGAAATATCCTGCAGATTTTGTGATTTTTATGAAATCATAAATTATGAAGTTAATCACTCAGTTGTTCAGTTGTTAATTTTAGTTGAAAACTTATTGCATTTATGGAATGTTCATATGGGTCAGGTAATTAACTTTTTGTAGCATGTCTGATAAGATGTCTAAATGAACCAGATAATATGCGTTTTTATGATATGGGTACATTAAATATTAGTAATGATGGCCTTTTTAAATAGTAAAGTTTACTTTAAAAAGTGCTCCTATTGAAAGTAAAAACTAGTGAGGATGTTATTTCTTGGCCACCATTTATTCTTTTAAAAATAACTTGAAAGATCCAACTTTGTAGACAGGAGCATTGTTCTGGTTGTGCTTCAATTATTATATACCACTGAATGTATAATCTCTACTGTATCTGGAAGGGAGGAATATACATGGATAAAGTATAGCACATGTACTACAATTAAGGTGAAGTCACCCAGATCCTTTTGACGTTTGTGTTTCCAGTGGTAATTGGCTAGAAGTACTGGATCATAAGGCAGGTAAAAGTTCTTAAAGAGCCTTCCAATTGTTTATATTTTCAATGCTCTTAAATTCACTTGATCTAAAGAGAAGAGTAAAATAAAATAAATGAAGCAACAATGGCTGTAACCAAAGCCCTGTTTGGCAAATACTTTACATTCACTTTGTTTGAGGAGGAATTTTCAAACAGTTTGTGATTCTTTTATTGTGACCTTTGCTTCCAAAGGCCATTTAAACTCCTCCTATGTTTCAGTGTTGTCCTATTTTATGGATAACCTACACTTGAGCAGGCACATTTTAATAATAAAGGCTTAAATATATGACTTACTGAGCATGGATTTTGCTGTGAGTTTTATATATTCTGACTTCAGTCTCATGCTGTCCTGAAAAAAACATTTGAAGGTCATATTCCTTAAGAACCCATAATGTGCATTCGGACACTGAATGTGCATTGCAAAGATTCCAAAGCAGAAAATATATCTTAGCAGACGAATCTGCTTTTGTCAGTGATCTAGGAGTGTCAGTAGTTTAGATCAAAGTTTAAGAGAGGAATATATTTCTAATAGCAGAATATGAGAATGGATGCTAGTGTTGCAGTTGTATATACATGTTTGCATATGTATAGGCAAGCATATATATACATATATATATTCACCTGTAATGAATATGTATGATAAGTGCTCAAGATACAAGAGTAGACACTATATTATCAACCTTGAGTACTACTAATAAAAATACAAGGTGAGGTGTATCTTTAAATATTCAGATTTTTTCTAACGGTTTTTTTAGTTTCATAGGAAATTTCCTTCTTGGCTGACAAAATCATGACACTGATATATCACTCAAAATAAATTGACTGCAAAATGGAACGTCTCTTATTAGCATGTTGTTTTATAATAAAATGAATTGCCCACTTGTCACTCATTGGGTAAAGCAGCATTTCATGCTAAAGAATATCATGTAAGAGAAAGAAATGGAAATATAACTCCATTTTTACATTATTTTAAATCACTTGTTGGGAATGCTATGGCATAAATAAAATATGCATTTTTAAAAACATGATATTTTTCATTATGTACTTTATGTATTTTTATATTTAATATATTTGTATATATATATACAACATAGGTTTTCTTATTAATAGCTTTCTCTTTGCTGTTCTTACGAATGAGATTTCCAGTAACTTAGCACCGAAGTGTAACCTAGCAACAAACAGCTTCCTAGCATGTTTGACATGAATGTGGTGCTATGGAAAAATTACTGAGCTTAAAAAATTCATTTGTGTATATTGTTAAAGTCTTCTTATGTTATCTATTGAATTAAAATATTTAATTTCACACTAAGAATTATTATTGACTTCCTCCTTCATTCAGAAAATACTGGAATCTTTCTCATATTTCACTGCTAAATAGGTGACTGGATCCTTTTCTCTGGCTACCTGTTCATCACTCACTAGATAAGAAGCATCTTGACACACGTTTATCATTTAGGAGGCAGCTTTTTGTGACTGCCTTTTACCAGTCACCTGGTAAATTGATAGCAATGCAATTCTCATCTTTAAGTCACTTTTATCAAGCTGATGATAGGGGTTATACTTTTAGGGGTGTCAATTTTAGAGACTCCATAGAAGATTTTCCTTTTATTTTAAAATTTTAAATCCAGTATATTTAGAATTACATTTTAGGAAAGTTATTTCTGTGTGTAGTAGTTATTTTGACTTGAAAAATAAATGTCCTGGACAATAGATATAACTTATATAATGCCAGCTATCACGGAAAAGCTGCAAACTGCACCTACATGATAACTAGACCACATCAGTGAGAGAAACAACCACTTCTCAATGGCTTCCCTAACTAAGTATTACTACAATTACATGAGACTTAGCAGTTTACCAAGTAGTTCACTGCTGTTAACCAACCCCTGTACCCCCTGGGAAAACTGATATAGAAGACAGCATGCTTGCATCAGGGATGGGCACAAGAATGCACTTTGGGAATGAAGGCATGAGGCTGCAGCAAAGTATGTCTGTGCTCATTAAATTCCCTTAGTTTTTTGTTTGCTTGTTTTGTTTATCTGTGACTTCAAATGATTCTCAACTCTTGCACCAAGATGAGGAAATTTGTTGCTCTCTAACTTCTTTCTTTCACCATTTTCCCAAATCTAGGGAGAAGTCGAAAATCATCAGACCTCTAAATTGAAACCTAAACATATAAGAAATTTCAATATTATGCATCCATTGCAATTCATGAAATAGCTTAGATAATGTTTATTATTCATATGAAATCATTACATACTCAAGAATATCCAGTTCATTTGGGTGAATTGTCTACATATATAGCATATGAAAATTCCATTAATATTATAGTTCATCTGCACACGTACCCTTCCCTGTGGCAGCCACTGCTGAGTTGTTCATAGAAAACTTCCTTTAGATGCATCATATGAATAGTTTTTGCCCCTTCTAGCAATGATGTCTTGACAGACTACTAGAAAAGTATGACTTTGAAATTTGGTTCCTGGAGGACACACGAAATATTATTTGTATTTTTATTTCATATTAAGTATACAAATTATATACTATAAATATCTAGTTATTGATTAATCACACTTTTTACTAATTCACATTTAAAAATCTATTAGAATTTGCTACAACCACGATAGAAATTATAAAATAATCTAAAGTACATAATGTATGTCTCAAAGATATAAAATAAGTCTAGAATCTACTGTAGATATATATAAACTTATAGAACATTAATGTTAAATTGTAAAGTTAATCTAAAGGAACTGTACTTGTGATTACAGGTTTGGTTACAAAAATACGGCTACCTTCCACCGACTGATTCCAGAATGTCAGTGCTACGTTCTGCAGAGACTATGCAATCGGCCCTAGCTGCCATGCAGCAGTTCTATGGCATTAACATGACAGGAAAAGTGGACAGGAACACAATTGAGTAAGTAATGTCCTCCACATTCTTTCTCTCATTGGTACTTGAGCCCAATTAAATTGTCACAAAAAATACAGTGTTCAGCAACCACTATTGAGATATTTTGCTTCATGGACTTTCCTTTGGAATGTATCCGATTTCCAACCCCAAATGTCTAAGGCTTCTCATATCATGTAATATACAAATTCAGGTTGTTCACATTGTCTTAACAACACAATTTGATTCAGGAAAGAAAATATAAGCAAGATTCAAAGTAAATACATGTTTTAAGACATTGTATGACATGGCAATTCATGATTGCTGCTTTGTGTGGTTTGTGAGAGTCACTGTTCACTTCTCTGCAAAGTGTTATCCCATTAACAGCTTCATATTGGATGGGATACGATGCACATGTTCAAGCAGTCAAAAGTGGGAAGCAGTACAAGTAATGCTTTTCTGTTGGGCTGGTAGGGAAATTTCAGAAATGGACTATTGAAAGTTTTCTAGCTCTGTTCTTTTTTAATTACATGGGTATGCAATGCATATCATGCTGAAATTTCAATCTACTACCTTACATAGACTGTAAGATATGCTGCTCCACATCTGTAATATCTGCATGCAAGAAGTGGCTGCACAATGATTGACCCAACTGTGATTCTATTTTGGCCTAGATAATGTGTTTCGTGTAAGTCCTGACTAGGAAGTGAAATCATGTCATGGAAAAATTAGACCAGAGATACAGCACCAAAATTAGGAGTTTGTTGCTTGTCTTAATTACAGTTCAGCTACTATAACAACACACCTTGACTATGGCAACTTGTAGAAGAAAGAGTTTATTGGTCCATACAGTTTCTGATGTTGAGTCCATGACGGTCATTATAGAGAACATAGCAGCAGGCTGTAGAGTTGTTGTGGAGTAGATGAGACCTTACATCTTGACACACAAGCAAGAGACAGACGACTGGTGGTGATGTGAACTTTTCAAACCTTGAAGCCTACCCCAAGGGATAGACATCCTCCAGCAAAGCCACACAATCCAACCTTTCCAAGATTTTTCTCACACTGAAGACCAAGTATTCAAATAAATGAGCTATGGATGCCATTTTCACTCAGGCCACAACACTACCTAATGTTGCTAATGTGAGTTCAGATTCAGTCCCATGTAAGAGTTAGAAATCAGCCTATGCGTGATAGAGCTTATCTCAAACAACAACAACAATAACAACAACAAATAAACAAATTACTTCCTGCACTTACAGGCATATTAAAACACTGCTTTTCAGTTATTCAACATATGATCTATAAATGTTACTGATTTTTAGGCTCCTCATATTTACTTAGTCACACATTCAGTTCAGTTATTAGTTTATGTTTGCTTGTTGATTTGAGACTGCATTCCTGCAGCCTCCAGGCTGCCTCCAATATCCTATGTAGCCACAATCTCCATGCAGTCATACATCCAGCCTACCCCTCCTGAATGCTGGTTACAGACAAGTAAGTGCCCAGGTCAGATCTTAAAGATGAATTTTATTTTAGGTGTGTGGGGGGGGGCAGGTGCACATGAGTGCAAGTACTCCCGGAGCTTGAGTTTAGTTGATTGTCACTTGCTCAGTCTGAGTGCCAGCATGGAACTCAGTTCCTTTACAAGAACTGTAAGCACGCACAACCACTGAACCATCACTCTCGCCTTTCGTTTGTTTAAAAACGAAATCCTGCTGTGGCAGACATGGGACACAGTTAATCTATAATTCTTGTGTAATTAATAGTGATTATTCCAATTGCAGTGATCTTTGTATTATGTTGAAGTAACTAACCAGTTCCATGTAACAAATTTAGATATTTCTTTGAATAGAATATTTTATTACATTTTTGCTCATTAGAACTGACATTGAAAATTAGTAGCTTTTGTTTTCGGCTACTAAGTCCATTGTCTAACAGGATATTTCCTTTAAATTTCCTTGTTTAGTTGATTAACTAAACAAGCTCATTTAAATTTCTTAATGAATAGACAAACTTATAGTAAGAATAAAATATATTCCATCAAGATGACAAATACAAACTCTTTATGTAGGGCATATCTGACCATTTGTCTCTAATTTTAAAATATAATTGTACACGTGCAGGGGAGGGGTTCTTGTTATGTTTACACATGGTAGTACATAGTGAAGGATTTTTGATGAGAAGTTTATCTCTTACAGTCGTTAATATTTTATCTGTTTTAATATACATTCCATATATAGGTGTGTTGATATATATGTGTGTTTGAGTAGTTTTGATTTCTAAATAATGACATGCAACTCATTCAACATTTGCTAATATTTTTATTTGAGCTCTTTTAACTCTAAATAACATTTCTAAAAAATTACTATGAAGATGGAGTAGTACTTAAAATCCTAATTGTATTTTTAATTAGGATGATTAATTAGATTTTTCAAGAACAACACTATTTATGCAGTTATCAATATTTTTATTTTTATTCTTTTGTTCGGGTTGTAAATTACCAATAATACTTTTACATTTAGAGAAATATCATGGTCTTCAGTAGTTAAAGTTTTTTTTTTTAGTTTCCTTGTATGATGATAGCTTTCAAACAGTATTGCATTAGTAGATGAGTATGACTTTATTTGCTGCAGACATATATTTAGTAGCTAAGTCAGGAAGCTTAGAGCTTATCAGAATGGTAACACATTAATAAGAGCAGGCAACAGATGACTTTTGATTTTGATGATGGTTGTGAGCGATGCATTTCATACTTCTCCCCATGAATTTCAGTGTTTTATCTTTGTACTTTCCGTCTTGTGAGTTGCACCTATGTCCAGAGAGGCAGTTATTGAGTTGATATATCAAGAGAAAATAAGTCTTTAATGTTTGAGCCCTGTGCAAATTTGCTTTTACCAGTCCCTGTATGCCTGGTAGATCTAGACTTCTCCATATTGATACAGCCTATGAATGCCTAAAATTTAAAAAAACAAAACAAAACAAAACAAAATAAAAGTTTATTTAAGAAATCCTAGAAAGCTCTGGAGACAACTCTAAACAACAGCTAATATTCTTCAATTTCATTAAAATTTGAATAGGATGTCGAATCTACTGCAAAATATTATGAACATTAATTTTTCTGTAAGTAATTGTAGATACACGCATACAAAAGCGATGTGACATCCAATACATCCCTGTGATTTGGCTTTCCCTTCTATGCCTGCTGAGGGCTGCTTCCAGCAACATTGCTGCAGTGTCACCAGATATATGGGCCACAACTGTGTTGAACAGAACCTGACCATGTATAACCATAATCACAGATATTGGAAACTCTGAAGCTACAAGATTGCTTGTAATGAGGATTATTTCCAAACCAACTGCCCAGAAACAGACCACTGGCTAGTATTACCAGTCTGGTGTGTTCACACAGATATAATTCTAAAACGAAATTTCCCTAAAGCTTTCATACTGCTTTGTGTGCAGAATGTGTGTATATTACTTACTCATGTACAAATTGTTTTTTTCTGAGATTGTGGCTAATTATGAAAATCTGAGAGTAGATAGCTGTTATAATATCTGTTATGAAGGAAGTAGAAAAACCTCTGATTTGAATGGGATGCTCTCCTGAGACTGGGAATACTCATTTCTACAGTATTTAATCCTGGAATGTATGGTAGCATCCCAGGAATTAGGAGTTAGGATGCATCCCATTTGATTTGGAAAGCAGGTGATTTTCCTGATAACTAAGTTGTTTGGAGTTGAATGAGATAGGCTGTATCTGAAAGCTGTGATGTCCCAGTTATTCTGAGCATAATAATAATAATAATAATAATAACAACAACAATAATAATAATACAATGAAACCTTTAATGTTTACTTTTAAAGTGTTACCTTTCTTGTAAAGTTAATAGTTTTCATTGGTAAAAAAAAAAAAAGCCGGGAAGTGGTGGCACAAGCCTTTAATCCCAGCACTCGGGAGACACAGGCAGGCGGATCTCTGTGAGTTCGAGGCCGGGCTGGACCGACAGCCTCCAAAACAATACAGAGAAACCCTGTCTCATAAAAAAAAGAGTTTTCATTGGTGTATGTTGTCATTCTCATACATGTATAGTAAAAGAATAGCTATTTTAAACATGTTACTTCTAAAAAGTTAATTCAATTCCTGAAGCAGAAGTTTATATATATATATATATATTTTAATTTTGAAGTCATTCTATAATGAGCAAGTATCAGTTTTATAATAAAATAACAACAAAGCAATAGGAGAGACAGATTAAAAACTAGATAGATAAATAAATAAAGAACTTTAGATATCAGTGTTGTTCTGTTCTTTTTTTTAATCTGTCCTAGAATGATTGACTTAGCTGACCTTGACCTCACAAACCTATTTCAGCGCTCCCCCACTAGTTGCCATGATTCTAAGCACACATAAAAATATAGATAGCCATTTCTAAATTCAAGTCCATTTAAAATATTTGAAAGTGCACATACGTCATGAAAGAGAGAAAATGAAATTATTTTTACATTCTATTGAAGCTTATAGCAACAAGATGATATAATATATGATCTTGGTAGTTAGTAAAGAGGTAATGAACAGGGGAAAATGTTTAGTGAGGGAAACTATTAAAAATCCTTAACAGCCTTCTACTTAAACAAGACTCAAGGCTAGGTAATAAACATGACAGTTATCAAATGCATGCCCCAGAAGACAAGTTAGACTTTGATATATAACTGCACAGTAAAATTAATCCACAAAACAACATTCCCATTCAATGTTGAGCTTCATTCTGTGATGCTGAACTCCTAACTCTGAAAATATTTTATAATGACTGAATTTGATTTTCATTGGGAAACATGAATAATGTCTGAAATTAAAGAATTGAAAAAATGCCAGCACCATATGAACAAACAATGTACTTCTCTCAAGCCTGGAGGTGAGGGTCTCTGCCCTAGTGAACCCAGCCATTAGAAAGAGCATGAGGACTATAAAAACCCGTGAAACTAATGGAGAGAGGATTCAATAGTTAAGAACCCTAGCTGCTCTTCCAGAGGACCTGGGTTGAATTTTCAGCATCTTTATGGTGGATCATAATCATTTGGAACTCCAGTTCCAAGGGATCCAACTCCACCTTCTGACCCTGCAGGCACCTGGCAAACACATGGCACACATGCATCTATGCAGCCTAGCATCCATATACATGAAATAAAATTTTAAAGTATTGTCTTTAAAAAATGTTAATTTACATCCCATGCAAAAATGTACTGAAAGTTTGATATCATATCTTAGGACACAAGTGTTAACTCATATCCCATGCAAAAAGTTTTGAGATCAAATATTAAGACTCAAGGTAGGTGTGGTGTCACAGGCCTTTAATCCCAGCATGGGTGGTGGGGTCAGAGGCAAGTGGGTCTCTGTTAGTTTGAGGCCAGCCTTGTCTACAGAGTGAGTCCAGGATAGGTATGGAGGGTTGTCACACAGAAAAATCCTGTCTCAGAAAAAAGAGAATATTAGAACTATAGAATTATTTCAATATGCCAACCATATTATATTGAAATGTTGTAATATCATATTGAGATATTGTAATACAATAGTATAATTGTAATTTTATATTATAAAATAATATAATAAAGTGTTATGATAGAATAGTATAGCCAGAAATAAAGGAAAATTCATCTGAAAACAAAATACAGAGAATGTTAGCATTTCATGATGCCCTGGTGTTATTTCAGAGATGACATGACATAAAGATTTGCTTCATATTACATACTTTTTCAACATTAGAATCTGTATAGAAATTTCAGGTAAATTCTTTTTGCAGTTATCTCAGAGAACTTTGGAGGAAGTTAATGCACTAAAGAATTTGAGTAGTAACGTAGTGTTGAATCTTTCTGAAAATATATGGTAACTATTTAGACTTAAATTGTAAGGACATTGAACATGAACCATTTCGGGATGATTTTATGAGTAACTGCTGCTTTTCCTTTTAAGATTACTAAGAGGAATTACTGAAAGCTATTTATTTTTCTTTTCTTTTTTTAGCTGGATGAAGAAGCCTCGATGTGGTGTACCAGACCAGACAAGAGGCAGCTCCAAATTCAACATTCGTCGAAAACGCTACGCACTAACTGGACAGAAGTGGCAACACAAGCATATCACTTACAGGTACACTACTCAGCCCTACTCCCAACCTTGTCTCATTTCTATTACTTTGTCCTTTTGTTTGATGCATGCTAACTTATGAACATGGAGTACGTGTAATTAGCCAGTGATAATATATTGTTCTAGAGAATTTAAAGGTGCAATAGGAAAAGAATAAAATGGTCATCATGGACCTTGAAGATGTTATTTGACATTGTTGGTCTCTTTGTATTTGTGCCTCACAACTTCCAAAAGATGTTAACCTCCTGAGGGATTTTGAAATAGGTGTTATAATTCAGTGTAATCTCTGACAAATATAATCTAAAAATAGACAAGCAATATAGTCTATAAGTCTACCTTTTTGGCCGGGGCTTTCAAGTCACGGTTTCTCTGTCTACCAGACCTGGCTGTTGTGGAACTACCTTTGTAGACCAGGCTGCCCTTGAACTCCTAGAGATCCACCATGTGCTGCCTCCCAACTGTTGGGATTAAAGGCATGCACCACCACTTCGCAGCTACGTCTAACTTTTAAACAAAATGCCTTAGAAATGGTTAATGTTTGTGGTAGCACTGTAACTGTTCTGCTTTTATTTATTTATTTATTTATTTATTTGCTGTGGTAACTATTGGACTTGACAAATTTTCTTTGTTGCTTTCAATGATGCAAAATGACATCCAACCTAATGGCAACACTTACTTATTGGAAATTTTATGCTTATTTTTTTATTTAAATTAGAAACAATATTATTTTACATATCAATCCCAGTTCCCTCTCCCTCCCATCATCACATGTCACATACCAACCTCCCATCCCAACTCCTCATCCACTCCCCAGGGAGGGTGAGGCCTTCTACGAGTGATCATCAAAGTCTGTCATTTCATTTGGGGGAGGACCAAGTCCCTCCTCCTTGTATCTGGGTTGAGAGAGTATTACCTCATGGTGAAGGGGTCCCATAGACTACCCAGGCCTCCAAACTGAGACCCACATTCAGGGGAGCTTGGTTCAGTCCTATGCTGGTTCCCCAGCTGTCAGACTGGTGTCCATGAGCTCCCACTTGCTCAGGTCAGCTGTTTCTGTAGGTTTACCCAACATGCTCTTGATGCTTTTGCTCATCAATCCTCCCTCTCTACAACTGGGTTCCAGGAAATCAGCCTAGTATTTAGGTGTGGATATCCTTCAGCTACTGAATGAAGACTCTAGGATGGCATTTAAGGTAGTCTTCAATCTTATAATAGGGGAAGGGCATTTAAGGTAGCCTCTCCACTACTGCTTAGATTCTTAGTAGGTTTCCTTCCTGTGGATCTTTGCACATTTTCCTACTGCCAGATTTCTCTTTAACCCTATAACGACTCCCTCTATTAAGTCTATATCTTTTCTTGCTCTCCTCTATTCTTCTTCCCACTCAATCTTCGTGATCGCTCATGTTCTCTTCTCCCCTCCTCTTCCCCTCTCCTCTTTCTCCTCCATCCTCATTCCTCCCTTCCCTATGCTCTCAATTTCCTCAGTTCTTGTCCCTTTCCCCTCCTCTGGGAGACCATATATACATAGATAGATAGAGAGATATAAATATATAGATAGATAGAGATATATAGATATAAGATATATAGGTATGTAGACATATAGGTATATAGATATATGTTCCTGGGAGATAGTAACAAATAAAACATAAGTATAGCAATGTGGAGGTCAAATAATAATATAAATGTGGTGTAAATATGAATAGGAAGAAACAAGACACACACATAAGATCCTTGGCCTAGCCATTCTAGGAAACTATAGTTTTATTGAAATGCTTCTTCTTAACCAAAGCCCATAGGAACATTTGAAAGAAATTGTCAAACCAATGCATATAAGAAAAAAGACACTTCATGGACAGTAGTGAGCCCAGAAATATCTCAATCAAATTTTATTAGAAAAGGAAGTTTATAGTTCTTGCTATTTTCACCAATAGACCTGAATGAAATGTTTAAAGGTAACATTAAAATGATTTGTCTTTGTTTTCTTTTATACAAGAAGAGTATGGCATTTCTGCTTACTTTTATTATTCAGAGGACAAACATCACTCAGAGTTACTTTGTAATCTCATATTATCCTCCCAAATAGAATGACACTTGATAATTGTTTTATGTAAATTATGTCAACTGCTCTTCAGATAAATTAAAGAGAAAATAACCTTGGCTTTTTCCATGAAGTTAATATTCACTGTCATTTAAATATTTTCATGGTGTTATTCATTTAGCTACAGGAACATTTTGAACCACATATATTAACTGTGCTTTTCAAAGAAAGTTATATATCTTCCCAGAAATTAATATGGGATACTATTTATATTGTCCCAGCAATGTCAGTATTAATGCCTGCTGTCCAATCAGCTGTCCTTCTTTCTCTAGTGAACTTCATTGTCAAGTAGTACATAGTGAGAAGGTTGGAAACTGATTGAAAAGCACTTGTATACTTACTACAAGACTGATTGAATGAAATTCTTTTCTTGATAAAGTGATATAGAATGTGTTTAGAAAGGCAATAAAATTTATAAAATATAAATGTTTGAAAAATTAAACCTATGGTCACTTAGACTTTACATTTATATTCATAAAGCCTAGCATAATTCTAAACAATTGCAAAATCATAAGAATTCTGGCCATTGTAAATAATAAACAATTTCATCTTTCACAGCAATTTCAGACCAGTAAATCTGTTGGGAATTTTAGACCAGTTTCTGCTGTTAGGAATATTTTCATTAGTATGGCACATTTACAATTACAAGTCACTATTGATTCCTGTTGGAGAACTGTTTTTTACACTATCATTCACTTTTTCTTGTTCCTTGTATTTGGCTGGTGTATGATGTCATGTGTCTACATTTACAATAGAATATAAGTAGTTTCAGTGCTCTAGAAATCCCATTTCTTACCAATTTACTTCATCTCTCTCCCCTCTAAGACCTTGGTATTACTGATTTTGTTATAATCAAATTGAATTATCACATTGAATTTATCTATTGCCATATAATTGTGGTCTTGCAAAATGTCTTTTCCAATTCATTTCTCCATACATGGATATAACTACGTTTTCTTCACATCTTTTTGTGACTTGATAGCTCATTTGTTTTTTATTACCATATCACAATGGATTGTAAAGATACTACAGTTTATTTATCTATTCATGTATTAAAGTCATCTCAGTTATTTTTCAGGGTTTCTCAGGAATCTAGCTAGAATAAACATTTTTTGTTCAAGATTTTTATTTCTAAATAAATTGAATAATATCCAAGGAGAGTGATTGCTTATTGTGTACTAAAACTTGGGTGAGCTCTATGGAAAACTTCCAACATGGCTTAATGTTCCTTTTTGAATCATCTTTAGTGGTTTCTGAAAACTCTATTGCCTGTAATCACTCCAGATTTTAGTAGGTAAGTGTTTGACAGCCTTTCTTAGGGTTGGGAGGAAGGGTTTATTTGGCTTACATATCCCTAGTCACAGAACATAGAGGGAAGCAAAAAAGAGGCACTCAGATCTGGTGGGAACCTGGTGGCAGGAAGTGATACAGAGGAAAAAATGGAGTGCTGCGTACTGGAGTGCTTCTTGTGTCTTCAGGCTGCTTTCTTATAAAACTGAGGGCTAACAGATCAGAATTGGAATCAAGGACAATGGGCTGGGCCTTAGCACAGAAACTGCTAATTAAGAGCATGCCTTTAAGACTAAGATCCTTACAGCTGGATGTTATTTGGCATTTTCTCAATTGAGAATCTCTCTTACCAAATGTATCTGGCTTGTCAAGTGGACACAAAAATAACTAGGACACGGGCAGAATTCTCCTTGTTAATGCAAATGGAGATATTGTCCTTAGATGGTTTCTTTAGTGAAAAGTATTCAGAATCATCTATATTTACTACTTTCATGCTTTCATAATATCGTCTTTGGTAAGGTGTCTCCTCAGGTTTTCTGATTAATAACTAGATGGCTTTCTTGTTTAGGAAACTTATCAGTTATTTTGTAACTCTTTAATCAGTAATCTTCAACCATTTTATCTTAGCTTGTAGCCTACACTTCATTTTTTATGATTTTTAGAGCAGTTTTTTTTAAATTATAATATCTAACTCATTTTCCTTCCTTTGTTGTTATATGCAGTGTCCAAAAAGTATACCATCACAGCTTTCTGTAGCGGGATTGCTGGGCTCTAGTGGTGAAATATTGACCTGGCTATTGTTTGTGTATCCTGAGTGAGAATGGTGCCTAGTCCAATTGTCATCATAAAGGCTTCATCTAGCAACTGATAGAAACAAAGACCCATAGTCAAACATTAAACCAAATTTAGGCACTCTTGCTTAAGAAAGAGAGGTAGGCCTGTAGGACAGCCAGAGAGGTCAAGGATGTCACAAGAAAACAGAATCAACTAACCTGAGCTTATAGGCGCTCACAGACACTGAACCAACAACCAGAAAGCCTACACGGAAAGGACATATATCCTCTGTATATATGTGACAGTTGGGAAGTTTGGTCTTCTGGTGGGAGTCCTAACAATGGGAAAAGTTGCTGTCTTTGACTATTTTGCTGGCTTTTGGGACCTTGTTCCTCATTTGGAGTTTCCTTGCCCATCCTTCATACAAGGTGAGGTACTTAGTCTTATTACAACTCAATATTGATATCAATGGGAGACCTGCCCTTTTCTGAATAGAAAATGAGGATTTGGGGGAAGCAAAGGCAAAAGGGAGGTTGGGAGGGATTTTGAGGAGAGATGGGAGCAATAATTGCTATGGGTATGAAAAATAAATAAATAAATAATAAACAAACATGAAAAATATATCATAGAAACCAGAAACATCTAGATGATCCTTTCTCTTCTCTCCTAGTAATTCCGTATCTTTCAGTACATCCTGAGTGCTAGAATTACATGAGTACAACACAGTGCTTGTTTGGGTGATCATGGTGAACAGATCAAGGGATCCTGCATTCTAGTTAATGACTACCAACTGAGATACACACCCCCCACCATCATTTCAGTTACTTTTAAAATAGCATTA